AGCGCGCTTATAAAAAATTTAACGCACAACGTAGTGGGCGCCAAGCGTAGAAGAGCACGTAAAACGTTGTGGCCTAAGTGTTAAAAGTTTCACCTCCATAAAGAATTTAATTTAGAAGTTTTCCAGTAGGTAGGATAGTTGAGTTAGCTTTGTTTATATAAGCTATAGTCTTTTACGACACTCCAATCGTAGCACCTAATTTATAAAACACTGTGCTTTAGTCACTATTCTCTTTGGAGCGATATCAACAAATTTATTAAGTGTTATAGTGATCACCTATTTATCGTGTTTTACGGGAGCATCACCCCAATTGTATTTTATATAAATTTTCACTAAGCCAAAAAATAAATTCTTACGCAAGAGGCAGACACTGGATAAAGAACGCTCCGGACTAGTAAAAAATGTGCACAGCCAAAGAAATATATTAAATTTAAAAAACTGTTTTGAAACTTCTAATAACCTGTCCCAAAAATTATTTTTTTTTAGCAGTCAGAAAGGTTTAAGAGCTGTGTTACCAGGATATTTTCCACAACCGCGATCATATTATAATCCTCGACGAAATTGCGCTTGCGCTTAACTTAGTGTGGAGTGCGTTAAAGAGCTGTGCGCTGTGTCGAGGAGTTAGAAGTGGTGATATTGTATCAGTTATTAAAGTGAGAAGATAAAAAGATGAATAAAAAGTATGAATTAGTAAGTGACACAGGCTCAAAGTAACAAAAAAAATAGGCAAAAAAGTATAGACAAAAAAAAGGGGAGAAAAGCGAATTTTAAATCCTTAGTTTACCATTATTTGATAGAGTTGTTAGGATTTTTTAAGATAAAAATTGTTAACGCCAGAATTTTATTGCTTGGTAGATAGATCTGAAAAGTATGTCGAGAGCGGAATCAACCGAACTCCAGTTCATGCAATTTTGCCATCGTAATCGTAGACTTATGACACTGTGCCTTACGTAAAGAAAGAGCACTTTTCCCCCCGTCATTTATGGCCGCTTTACGTAATTTGCTTCTTCAATCGCGCCAATATTCGCTAAGAATGGTTTTTTCTTTTTCATGGTAGTCAAATACTATAACATCCCAAAACACGAAAACCATAACCTTCCGGTAGACTGTTGCGTCTTTTGGTTTCCACTCAGCTGACTACCGAGTGCTTACAATTCGCTTAAACAGCTCCAAACAGCTTTTCTAATCAGCACCACGTTTGTCGTTTTTGGTCCACTTAGGAACCGCGGTGCCCACTTCAACCAGAGTTATCTCATGTTTACCCGTGCAAAATAGCCCACACGTTTCCATTGATATCTTGCGACGTCAGCTAACTCCTAACCTCACTTTACGATAATCCACAACAATTCTGTATATATTTTCTATGATTCCTGGGATAACCCCCTTCTTAGGCCGGAGCTTTCAGCAATATTTGTGCCCGTTTGACCTCGCTTAACTTAGTAAACCACCGAACAAATCACAGTTTTCGATGTAGATTCCTTATAACACTTTTTCATCCATTGCTGAGTTAAACGGTATTTTTTCTCAAAAGTGTTGCTTAACTCACACAAAATTTGTTTTTTCATTATTTTGAATCTTTAATATTTCGATAACTTACGGAGGAAAATGTCCAAAATTTTTTTTGACACTTAATTTTGAAGGTAGATACTAATTGCAAATGGTATGGGTGGGTTACTCCCAGGACTTACTAGGCGGCTCTAATCGTATTAGCTTTAAAAAAAAAGGGAATCATTATAATATAATATAACGCTTTAATTACGTTACAAAACAAATTATAACAGCTGGTCTATCCTATATTGTTCATTAAACATTAATCAAGTAAATTAATACACTTTAAATGTTTTTTTTATTATACGAGTACGATTATAAACAAAGAGAATTATTATTAAAAAATGGACTAAATTTTTTCGCAAAACAATTTATAAAGAATAAATTAGTAGTAAATTAATTCGTGTTAATTTTTAAAAATAGAGTATAGAATTTTTGTGTTTAGTAGTAATAAGTAAGCCGCAGAAACTTCAAGTTGAAAGGTTATTAAGAGCTTCAAGAAAAACGTCGCACTTGTTTGAGAGAACTTCGATGGCACTGCTAAAGATGGTATGAGGAGGTAAAGCCCCCGTGGATTCAATAAAATCTAAAAGAAAAGAAAACGAAGTTACTAAAAATTATTAAAGAAATAAAATTACGAACTTTTATTTAATAGACAGAGTTCTCTTTATAATAATAAATTAAGACGGCTTTATAACAATGGATATATTAATATAAGCCGAATTTTTAGTTATATAAAAAAGTAATTATAAATAACTCAGACGACAATATTTATAAAAGATTTAAAAATTGTTATCTCGAAAGTGAAAAAATTTACAAATAAAGTGATCGCGAATTCGTGAGAGTTCCACCTTTTTGGCGTATTTTGGATGTCTAAAAACCTTTACGAATATAAATTATATTTATAATTAGATATTTAACAATTTAAAAAACTTCTCGGCTTAAGGTGTCCATCCTCGGATTTTTTACAACTGCTTCGGGAATCCCTGAAAAACAAAAACTTTTATTTAAATTTAACGTAATTTCATAAGTGTAGCGGTAATTTAATAAATAAATCACTAAACCCCTTTTGTTTTTTATAACGTCAATGACTCCCTCCGAAAAACATTTTTGAAAATCATAAGCATCTTGGCCGTAAATGGGCTCTTTTATAATAATCTCTAATAATTATAAAATTTAATTATATAATTTTGTTTTAAAAAAAAGAAACAGAGGCCAACCCGGGAGGAGTCTATAAGAGCACGTGGCCACAGGGGACCACTTAGCGTGGGTCTTCCCGATGCCCTTCAAGCAGAACATCTGGACGTCGATCTCCTGGTTGGGAGCTAATTTCAGAAGCACAATGTCGTCGTGGAGGGGGCGTGGAGGTCTGCTTGCTAAATCTTCCAGCTGTGTTCCCGCCGGCGACCATTTCAAATCTTTGGTTGTTACTAAAAAGTTGTAAATTTAATAGATATCATTAAAAATCAAAAAATATCCATTTTCATTAAAAATAATAATTGTAATACTTACAATTTTAGAAATTTAAGTTTATAATGCACTTTAATTATGTTATTAATAACATTCCTCAGACATCACTGCTAATTATAATTCGAACTGCTACTAAATAATTTTCCTTCCCATTAGTTCCACTATAAAAGTCAGCATATAAAAGCTGCAGTATACCATCAATAGTCTTTAAGTTTCCAGTAAGCGAACGTTCTTTCTTTTGCTTTTTGGTTAGCGGATCGCACTTCACAGATAAATTAAAAATAATAGTATTGGCATCCGTGTAACGTACTTCCTCTGGAGCATTTTCATCTATAAGTAGTAAGCATCTATTAGATTGCCTTTATAATAATTAAACGTAAATTTTCTATATATAATTCAAAATTAAAGCATCAAGCTTTATAAAATTAAATTAATTAAAACCAAAATAATTAAACTCGAAGGGATCTGCGTCAATAGGGACGAGCCCTAAACGATGGCAAAGAACTTCATCGGGCATTACAGAAGTGTTATTGAAGATCCAAACTTTTTCAATAGCCATGGTTGGCATCTTTATCACGAAGATGACGTTAATATAAAATAATTAAAAAAAAATTTTTGTAACTTCAACTAAACAGATGCGACGAAAAGCATTAGCAATTGCAGCGTCAACACCGACAAGATCAAATTCCATATCCAGCCGGTCCAAACGGCCAATTGCCACTCGTAAATTCTGTCAGATATTATAATTATTAATCAGTTTTGTAATTTAACAAATTTTTATAAGCTTTAATCTGATTTACAAGTATTATATGTGTATGAGTTATTAAATCATATCTAATAGTTTTTTATAAACTTTAATCTGTATTATAAGCATCAATGCTCACTTTTCAAATCCATGGAATAATATTTGATATAATAAAAAATATTTTTATAATAATATCAAGTAAAAACCATAAATATCCTATGGAGTATAAAAAATACATATGGAAAAATAGTTGTAATTTCACCTTTTTAAAATTAAATAAATTCCAAGAATCATCTATACCGTCTATACTCCTAGGAAAATCGCTGCTACTCGTAAACTTTACCTAAAAAAAAAATGTCTGTTAACTATAAAAATTAACACGAATTTAGTGCATATATTTGGTAATATTTTGAAGTAAATTGCTTTTAGTACTCTCTTTATAACAATAAATAAAACACTCAAAACTATATTTAAATATATATAAATAAAATAAAGCTTTCTCTATATGACATTAAATATTACACACAAAACTAAGTTTATATATATCTTGGAATATAGATGCTGACTTCGTCTTCTTTAAGAACGATCCTGGTTCTAACTTTTTTAAGTAGTGGATCAACGAGGTCGCTCATTCCAGAAGTTTACTTAAAGTAGAATAACAGCCACCAAAAATAAGCAATTTCCGACTCAAAAAAATTATACTAATTTGAAAAATAAGGAATAGAAGTTTTAACTCAAAGTTATTACAAAAGGTAAGCCTTTCAACTTTTTGTTCACCGCGTGACGAAAGGCCACGACTGCTCTCTCACTGTTTTACTTTTGTAATGGCCTCTTTATTAGAGCTTGGTGAACCATATCTTTATAATGATTCCTATTCTTACTCCTAGTTTTATAAACCAAGTGAAATATGAAACGTATTTTAAATTTTTATTATAGAAGAGTTCTTAGAGAATATTCGTTGCTTACGCTAATTTTATATATATCGCAACGTTGCTTCTGCAATTTTATTTTGTTTGCCAAACAAAAGTAGCACCCCTCTTTTTTTTTTTTTTTGGTGATTCTCCGTCGCTCTCTATAGATCTTCTATTGATGGGTAGTTTTACACTGCGTCTTTTGTTGTTAAGTGTAAACCTGCAGTTTTTTTACGTCGTTCACTATGTGAAATATCAGACTTTCTGCGGAGTTAGTTCTAAATTCTTCATTTTCATGTTTATTCCTATTTTTTCAGTTTGGTTGTAATAATTTCAAAAGCATATGCAGTTATACCGCAGCAATTCGAATATTTAGAAGAAAGGCAAACGGCCAATACTTAATGTATCTACGACTCCTTTGGTTGCATTACGATAAAGTCTATGTTTTCTTATCTTGATGTTTAATTAGAGTGTCGAATGCTTAATTATATGAAGTATTACAGCCCTTCTTTTTTAGGCAGATAGAATACTAACGACATGTATTTTTTAAACGGATTTTGAAGAATTTTCATCATAATTGTTAGGAAGAAATCTAGCAGGAGAAATGAGTTTATTATTCATTCTCACGGTGCCAACTAGTGTTAGTCCTTTCGATAAAAACAACAAAGCTAATACTAAACCAGTAAAATATTCTTCGCAGCTACATGGTAATGTGTATGATAATCTGGTTCTGTTAGTTTTGAACCACACTAGCAGCTAATCCATGCTCCCTTTCGTTCATATCCCTTTCTTACATGTATAATACCATTTAGTGAATAAAAACTATCAAAATTGCGTAGCTACCATATTTTCATCCCATTCTACCTTAGCAGGTACGTATTATCTGAATGCACACCCGCCACGAAAAGCTACTAACCGCTCACTAACTGTCAAGCTACTATAAGATTATGTTTTTAGTTTGAATACGATCAGAGACCATATACTACGAATTGAAGGTAACTTACCTTTTCTACGGCGTTCTGTTCTTGTACTTTTATCATCAAATATGATAAACCTTAAAGGCTTTTGAAACGATTAAGCCCAAATATATCTCTGAAAATTTAAGGGCCATAGTTAGGATTCCAAAAAAATTTCGTTTCAAAACACGTTTAAGAAAATAGACATTAAACTAAATAAACTATTACAGAGTTAGAGTCATGCAAAGTCTGTATTAAAGTTTCAATTTATACATGGACATACATGGCTTAATCTAGTTACACCATCTTACCCTTTTACTCTTCTATTTAAGTGTATTTATCCCTTCAAGAACTTCTTATAGTATAGAGAGCACTGAACGATGTTCAAGTCTCTATTTTTGACGGTACAGAGACTAGCAGGGTGAACTAAAACAATCATTTGAAAGAAAAGGGGTACTTGAAGTTGCTAACAATTTTCATTGACTTATTTGTGTATACAAACGACCTCGTTCGTCTTGTCAGATCTCCCTTTCTAAGCAGTGCTAGAATAAAGTTTTAAAAAATTATCAGTAAGGGGAGGTAGGTTTAACCTAACTTAACAGGTTATTTGGCTTTTATCATGTTTTATTTTAAAAATACTTTTGTGTATACGGCGTGTACATTAATATTTCTTTTTAATTTCTTCCTATGTGGTATACTGCGTAGTAAAATTTTTAAGTCTGGCGTCCTGGATATTTAAAAATAGTTTTTAAATTTTACTTGATCATTAACTTTTGTTTGTGCAACAATTTAGAAATGTTTCCTCAAAGCTTTTTTTCCCCATGCAATTGTTTTGAGCGCTAGTAAGTATAACTTTTACTTTGCGCCAGCAGTAAGCAGCACTTCTTTGAAAAGTTGTAGATTCAACGATTGTGGTCATTCTCACAAGTTTTGCGTTATTTCCACGCGCAGGAAGTAATAATTATATTAAAACTAATTTTCTATCATTAATTTTGATACAAACTTATTTTTCTTGTTTAATTTTTTCTTTCTTTTATATAGGTCAAACTTAATGTGTGTATCTTTATCTAATAAAGCGAGAAATTGTTTTGGCTTTTCAAATCTGCTGCAGTGTTAAAAATGGCTATAAATATGGTCATAGGGTATTGTATGGTATCAGGTTAGCTTACCTGTGTATTCAATTATTCGTAAGCAGGACATATTAAATATTATTTTTATAGGTTCTAAAAATTTTTACATGTTTTAGTACGTGGGGCTGATAATAAGGCGTTAAAAGAAAGACTGCTTGAGTCTGAATCTCTCTAAAACGGCTCGTTTGCTGGAAGTTTAAGATCTTCTTGCCCCTTATAAAAGTAAATTTATATATTAAACCATTTTATACGTTAGTATATATAATATTTTACCAGATAAATATATTTAAATCCTGATGAAGGCAACTGCTATTAAACGAAATATCAGATCATTTTCTAAAAAAGAGAATGCGAGAGTAGTTTGAACGATTTCCTGTTTATTAAAAAATACAAGTATATACATGTTTAAAACAAGGTTCTTCAGGTAATTTTTAAATTCCTGAAAGTTGGTGCAACTAATCAATCATTTTAAAAGTTACACTGGAAGAACTTTTTTAAAGCTGCTGAAAATTATTTATCTGTAACAAAAATTGAATAAATAGATGTGATAATACTGACTTTTAAGAAAAGTTACAGAAGATGAGGAATTTATTTATATAAATGTCATAATTAAAGGTTTTTTTACTAATTGGTAAAACTTTAGATACAAAATAAATAAAAAAATTTCTTAAAAAAAGCAATAATTTTTTGTTTTAATTGTTAGATGGCCACCTTTTTTTAAATTTTGTAATTAAGACTTTGTGTTATTCATAGTTAACCGGAAACACACTTTATTTTACAGTACAACACGGTCTTCCAACTTAGAGGAAACTATATTAAATAAAAGGCAGGCACCTAATCCATCTTTAACTAAATTTAACATAAAAGTTCAAATTTTTAATATGTTTAGTTTGAAGAAACTTTTTTTATAAAAGCAAAGTATTAATATTTTTAATTTGCTTTTTCCTAGAAATTACGACTTTTACTTATCAGTTTAAAGTTCAATACGTTTGGTGAAGGAGTAAAGCTCTAAAGAACTTAGATGCTTTTTTAAGCAAGTTTCTTCCATTATTAACTAATAATTTAATAGAAAAGGCAAGGCTATCTAAAATAATTTTAAAGTCAAGAATGATTTTTAAGGGAATCCAGGACCATTAGCCATAGGATTGTTACTATAATGACCTTATAGATTGGGGGCAGAAGGCGTTCTTGTAAGACCTCAGAGGATTTTTAGAAATAACATAGAGACGTGATGCAGTGATAATTTTAAAAAACTTGTTATAAAGATTATATCCGAAAACTTTATTAGCATTAGAGGATTAATATGATTAACTTTAGATTTTAAGTAGTCTAGTAAGGAAGTTTTGTCTTTATACAATTTTATAAAGAGGAAAATTAAGATGGTTTTAGTGCCTTTGCTTTATACTGTGCCCTAGTCACAAATGCAATACCTTGACTTTTCTTTGTATTCGATAAACGGAAATAATTTATTTCTATACTGGTTTTTTATTAAGAAAGAATATAGAGCTTGAATACTTTTTCATAAAACTTTTATTTAAATTTTTATAAATTTTTTTGCCACCTCGAAAGTTGCAAAATACGTGGAAATATAAAAAGGGAAGGACTGGCATTTTTCTTTAAGATGCAGAGCTATACTAACATAAGAGAAATTAATTTATGTTAAAGAAGCTATAGAAATGGTTAATTAGGTAAAAGTAAGTGTAATGTAATATATATAAACTCGTAACATTAACTATACATTTGCATTGTGATGTCCTAATTAAACATAAACCAAATTTCTTAAAGTTTTTGAGAGGAAATTCTTCTTCTTATAGAAGAACTAAATATATTTTTAATAATAATAAAATGAAATTTAACTATATAAAGTATCAGAATACATACCTTTCCTCAGTTTTTAATAGCTTAAAAAAAAAAACGTTGAAGGGTAACTACTCAAGGTATCTCTTTTTCTTATGAAGTCATTAGGTTTTTACCTCCTCACACACCATTTTTAATTGTATTCTCCCGTAAGGATGTGTACGTTCTGTATTAACCTGGTTTTCTGTAGTGCTAAAGTTATGTTAAGGTAGATTAAGATAAAATGAAAGAAGAGGGCCCTCAAACATTTATTCAGGACTTTCGTCCAGGCATGAAGAGGATCAATTGCAGAATGATTGTTTTAGAAAAAAGTTTATTTAACGTTTTTCAGTTTCACTATGATATAAACTTACAAAGCTGCTATATAGCTGAGTTGGCACCCACTCGCTCTGGAAGACTATTTCAGTTTTTAGTTGCAGACAACTCAGCTTCTATATTTTTTTCAGTTTTTGATGAACTCGGAGAGGCTATTGAAACTGGGGATATTTTATCTCTCCATCTCGGGCATAACGCGATCTTTTTTTTCTGAAGACTTTAGCGATGATTAGTATTATATTTTATATAGATACTGCCTTCAATTTAAAGGATCTCTATTTCTTTATGTAGGGAAAGAAGGGACTGTAAAAAAACTTGGCGAGTACTTTTTTTTTTGCTTTGTATTTTCAGGTCTTGTTGAATAATATACTGAACAGAATTACTATGTTATTTAAAGAAATTCCGAACATGAGTCATTTTCTTTGGAAGGATCTAGATTCCAATAACACCAAGCCCAACTCGCGTGTTTCATGGGTTTCTTAATATTATATTATATAATTTTTTATCTTTTTTTCTATTTTATTAATTCTTTTTGGGTTTTTATATTTTTATTTTGATTTTAACTATAAAACAGACGCCATTCCCAGGCTCCCCTGAATTAGCCAGACTTAATATAGTTCCTAATATGCATGGGCAAGGCTTTGTGCATTTTAACCCTGATCTACCCGTGCAAACTCAGCCGAAGCCAGCGCCAGCGCACTTCCAAGGGGATGCCAGAGCGGCAAACACTTTGATACCAAGAGATTCTCAAGATCAGAGAAGTGAAAAGTACGAGAGAAATCTAAAAAGTGCCTACAAACCGCACTTTACTATTAGAGATTACAAAAAGGAGTCGAGCAGCGCTTATAAATCTGGAAATTATAATACTTCTACTGAAAATTTCAGTTATAAAAGTAATTAAATTTATTAAATGGAACTGCTCCAAATTTGTACATCGGCATCATTTTCGCCGAATCTCAGCTTAAAGTAGTACAAAAACCTTTTGCTGATGGATTTAATTTCCTGATCGTCAAGATCCACAAGATGGTTGGTGATAAAAGGCTGTAAGAGCAACGCTCCCGCAATTGGGGATATCTAAAAAGAAAAAACCAATTTTTATACAAACTTTAATTTAAACCTTAACTTCTTAAAAAAATTTATAGAAGCTAACATCAGCTAAAAGTAAATTTAAAGCATTTATTTACTTTTTAATTCAGTTTAAAATCTTTAGTGTTCCCTTTAAAAATAAATTACGTTCATAAAAAGTTCTTCTATCCGCTTATAAAAGTGTTTAACTAGCTCGCAATTAATTTCTAGAAAAGAATCTTGTTGACCGTACTGGATGGCCATCTCCATCAACATTCTCTCCATTAGTATACACAAAAAGTGATCATCTCCTAAAAGATTTAAAATTAAAATTAAAAAAAATAAATAAGTAAATAAGAAATATAAATTAAAATAATTTTTTGCTATTTAAAAAATTAAAATTTAAATAATAAAAATTAATTAAAAAAATTTATAAAATAGTTATTATTTATTAGATATATAAAGAAGTAAATAAATAAGTATTAAGTTTTTTTTCATTATTAAATAATCGGACGTAAATAGTATTACTTAAAAATTAAATATTGAAAAGTATAATAAATGGAAATTTTTAAAAAGTTTGAATTTACTTAATTACTTAATGATAGATTATCTAATAAAAAATGAAAAATATATAAAGTGTAGGTTTAATTCCCTTTAATTTAAAATCGAATTTTATTTTCTGTTATAAAATAATTTTTATTTAATAATTGCTAATTAATTTATTTAATTACAGTAAAAAGTAAAATAACTTAGCAATTGAAGAAAAGTAAATACTTTAAATTTAAAATGTAATTAAAATAATTGTATTTTTTATAATTAAAATTTTAAAATAATAAAATTTTTAAATCCTCATCTTTAAAATTAAAATTTTTATTTACATTAATTTTCTTTTACTAATATAAAAAATTTACAAAATGAATATAAAATTAAGATAAAATTAAGATAAAATTAGATAAAATTAAAATAATATTCAATAAATAATAAATATAATATACCAAGTTTTATGGTAAATTTAAAAAAAAGTTCAATTTTCTGTAATTTATTAAAATTATAAAAATTCCTTATAAAAATAACTAATAATTTAAAACTATAATCAAACTATAACTATTTTATATGGTATCGTATTTAAAAAAATAGTTCATAAGACTATTTATACTACCGAATTTTTCTTTACTAAAAAAATAAATTTCCAAAAGATTGGCAACTTCAACGGTAGTTGCATTCGCTTCGTAAACCATAAACGTTTCTGTGATTTTTGCTTCATCCTCGAAAGGAAGTTGCGAAGCAACGATGTCCTTCATACAACTCTTACAAGTATATTTATTATCCTTAAAACTTTCAACTACGAACCCTTAAAAAATTTATTATTAAAACGTTAACGTTAAATGATATTTACTTTTTAATATTATTATCAACTAAATTATATATAAAATCATATTCATGCGTAATTTATAGCAAAGCTGGTTAAAAAAAAAGTTATGCAATTTTTTTTAAAGTTTAACTAAATTATATTCATCCTGTTAAATTCTTACTATAAACCAGAAATTAATAATTTTAGCTTTTATTGAAAGGACAAAAGGCAAATAAATCAGCTTATATAAAGCAAATTTCTTAAACCACCACATCCGCCTTTAATATTGCATTTATAACGGCAAACTTCATCTTCATTTTCACAACGAGAACAACAGCAAATGAAACCCCAATTATCAAAAAGAATCTTATTATAATTTTTAAACAATTGGCGTTCGTCATATATGTGTATTAAAAAATTCATAATACCTTTCGCCTTATCTTTCGAGGCATAAGTAAGACTGGAGGAGTTATATAGCTGAAGCTTATTAACTCATCTTTCTCAATATTTTTCATTGCTACAAACTTTATATTGTGAACGCTGGTAATAACAAGAACGTTAGGAGAGCAGGAGTGAGCAGCCTAAGGAATAGAAAATTTTAATTCAGGCCCAAAGTTTAAAATTTAAAAGGGAGATAATAGTTAAATGAAAACTTTCTTTCGAGGCTATAGGAAAAAGTCCCATTAATTCTTCTCCGTTGCTCCATAACTTTTGACCGTTAAAAGCCAAAGCACTTACAAGCTTTAAAAGTAGTTCTTCTTCTTTACATTCTTGTTTTTTTTTAATTACATGTTCTTTTGTGAGACTGTATAACTTGGAAATTGTAGGAAACTCTTGAACATTTGACAATGTGCAAGTTTTGAAATTATTAAGAAATTCAAAGTTGGATAATATTTTTTCTTTATTTTCAATAAGAGTAAGAAATGTTTCAGCTATCGCTTCCACGCCAATTCTTTTAAAAGTTAAAAAGATGTTATAATCCTTTTTTTATTAATTATCAGAGTTAATAGTAAAAGAAACCTATTAACAAATACAGGAGATTCCTTTAAAACAACATCGCTTAATTTAAAATGCTTTTTTGCTTGTAAGGTGAAATCATAAATTACGTTATGGACTATCTTAACCTCTTCATTACCTTCAAGCTCACTTGCAAGCATAGTTATTTGTTAATAGTAATTTTTATATCATAAAAAAAAAAGTTTTTTTTGGCCTTGAAAATTTTAGATCAGTAAATCGAACAAAACTATTTTTTTTTTTCAACGGTTTTGCAATATATCCTTTAAGTCATCTTGCCCAATTGGAACCGACACATGCTCTAGCATTAGAAGCCCGTAGAGCTCCAAGTAAAAGGGCTTGGAAAATGTTTGTCTCGCAAAAAAAGCAACGGCTTTCGTTTAGAGCTAATTTCTTTTATATTAAAAAATTTGGTAGATTTTTATCTTAAAGATCTTTTTAACTTAAATTCAGTAACGCAATGCTCTAAACTTTTTATGTAATACTATTTGAGCGTGTGTTGTCATTTTAGAAATCTAAAACATTATTTGGGGTGTAAAGTTCTTTCACGCCCTATAGTAATTTTTTGTACCATCTTGTTTTAACTTAATTGTTTACAAGTTTTACTATTATTTAGTAAACAAATATAGATATAAGTGTTAAAGTTTGAAAAGTTGTTTTATAATTTTTTTTTTGAATAGTTAAACTCTACATAATTATTAATAGCTGATTGATCTTCCTTAAAACAGTTTTTTTTATATATATATAAATTTGTGAAGCTTCATTAACCGCAAAGTTAACAACACCTTTTTGTTTTAAATGTAATAGTTGCTCTGTTAAGTAATTATTAGCTTTATTATTTAATTTTTTGGCTGCATTCTCTTTGTTTTTTTTGCTCTTTTAAAGAGGTTTCAGTCTTCTTCTCTCAAAAATTACAATTTTAAACTCAGTTGAATTTAGTTATTCTAATTTAATTTATCAAATTTATAACGCATTCAATTTTTGTTAATAAATAAACAAAGCAGTTTGAAAAAGTAACGGAAGCATCGGTAATGAACTTTAAGTAGGATGGCTGTTTTATGAGCATTATTAAACAGCTCGAAAAAATAGTTTTTCTTGAAGCCGTAGAAGTGCTGATACTCTTTTAAAAGGAAAATAAACGCCGAACTTTTAAATTAATATATCCACTACACTTTATTTGTAGTTTTTCAATCAACATGTAATATTTTAACTGATTAATTTAAAAATTTTTTTTGTTAAAGCTTACATTTAAAATAATTTTAATTTTAAATTTTTAAGGAAAATCATCTTTAAAAACTTTTTGTAGGCATATATAAACATTTTTTTTCCAATTTTTAGTTTCTTTAAATCCTTATTTTTTTTATCCGATATAATAAAATATTATTTTCATTTCTTTTACATCATTTACTCACTTTAGGAATTTTATTTATCAGCTAAAAGTTATAAAAATAATTTCATGCATAACTTTCTTTGATAATAAAATTCTACAAGTTATATATATATTTATGATTTTATATATTTGTAAGTTTTTTTTTATAAATACTTTCTTTAATTGTAATAAGTAACATACTAGTATTTTCTTATAAATATATTTTAATTTTTTTAATAAGTTCCTTATATATAACTCTAATATACTAAACCTATTTGATCCAATGTATTTCTTTTTGTACATTAAAATATTACCTTCTTTACATATTCCTGTACATATTTACTAAGTTTTATTAAGATTTTTTTTTTCATTTTTTTACTTAATTTTTTTTATGCGTTTTGTATTTTTTTTTTGACTTTTATATTATATACAAACTTTATGGGCTTTTAAGTTTTCTTGTAAACAAAAAATAATTTTTTTTTTAATTTTACATCAAGTTGATTTATTCATAATGCTTTTAATCTAAAGATTACAAAATTATTATTTTTATAATTATTTTTGTAAATCTTGACAACTTGTTAAAACATTTTTGTTTCAATTTAATCTTTTTAATTTATATATATTTGTTATTTCTTTAATATATATCCTTTCATTTATTTTCTTTGGTGATGAATTTTATGAAACGAATCAAAATAGTTGAAAACCTTCTTTTCTGAATGGCTTCAACTTTTACTTTATTATGAAATTTTCATTTTATCATTGATAATCTTTATTAAAGAATTTTCAAATTATCAAAATTAAGTTACTTTAATAACTTTTTATAATTTAACTAATTTGTGAAGATGAAATACTCTATTATTTTTGTAATTATTAACTTTATTGATTATTTTTTATTTTTGTAATTTGAAAAAGATCAAATACTCATATTTCTATAAATAATTAGTTGTTGGAAATTTATTTTGGCCTTCAAAAGATGAAACAGACTTATTTGTACTTGAAATATTGATTTTTAAATTAATTTTTAATTCATTTATAAAAAAACAGAATACTTTTTTTTTGTTAGTGTCTACTACATGATAAAAACTTTTTGAAGTTCGTCGAAAGAAAATTGATCTCCTGTTTGCTGGCAAATAACGATTCCGTTGTTGCTTTTTGCTTGCTCTTCTAAAGCCTTTTAATAAAATTTTAAAAAATAATAAAGAAAGTAAAAATGTTTTTTTATTAATTAATTCAGTTTTTATGGAAGAACAACTTTACTAATTTTTTATAATAAACTATTTCAATTGAAAAATTTTAACTAATTTGAAAGTAATTTTTTTTTTAATGAGCTAATGCTAGTTTTTTAGAAAAACAAACTTATTAATTTGTTATAATAATTGTTATTTTAAAATTAATTTATTCAAAACAGTTTTTAACAAAATTAAAAGTAATTTTTTTATAATCAACTAAATTGGAGTTTTTTTTAAAAAAGAAATTTTATTGATATATAGAATAAATTATTTTAAACTTTGTTTAATTAAAACAGCTCTCAACTGTTTTAAATAATCTTTAATTATAATTAAGTAATGGAATTTTCTTTTAAGAAACAATTTACTAATTTTTTATAATAAATTATTATAAAATTTTAATTTAATTGAAACACTTTATTTAACAAAATTGAAAATATAATTTTTTTAGAACCAAGTAATTCGAGATTTTTTTAAGAATAACAAATTTTTAAAATTTTTATTGAAATTTTTTTTTAATTTTTAATTTAATTGAAGCCGTTTTTAACTATATTGAAATAATTTTATTATTATTGATTAATTCCAGATTTTTTTAGAAAAACTATTTTTACTAAAATTTATAAATAAATGTTAAATTAATTGAAATAATTTATAACTTAAGTAAAAATATTTTTTTTATAATTAATTAATTCGTGATTTTTAAAAAATAAAAAAAATTATTAATTTTTTAGGTTAAATTTTTTCCAATAAATTAATTGAAACAATTTTTAACTAAATTGTAAATAATTTTTTTATAATTAACACTAATTCAATTTTTTTTTATATAAAGAAAAATTTTGAATTTTTGATAATAAATTATTTTGTTAAATATAATTAAAACAATTTTTTTAACTAATTTGAAACCATTTTTTTTATAATTCAATTATTTCGAGATTTTTTATAAAAAAAATTTATTAGTTTTTTATATTAATTTATATTAAAGTTTATTTTTTATACAAATTATATAAATTAATTTTTTATAATAAACTAAAGTAAATTTTTTTGCAGAAATAGTTAATTGTAGATTTATTTTTTTAAGAAAACTTAGTTTATTATATTAAACTAATTTAAGTTTAAATTTTTGAAAAAATATAATTTGATTTATTTTTTTAGATTTATAATTTTTTTAATATGAAGTATATTTTACTTATTTTTACTATATTATTTATGATGTTAAAACAAAGGCGATATTTTTTTCATAATAGAAAAAAGAAATTATATAAATTTTTTTAATACATATTAAATAAAACAATTTTAATATACCGAATTGCTATAAAACTGCGCTCGTCGTAATTGAATTATTTATATTTTTTTATATGAAGAAAAAATAAAATAATTTTTATTTTTCAATTTTTATAAAATCATTAAAAGTAGTTTTTATAAATATAAAAATGATGTGAAAATTTTTATAGTTTTAAGATCTTTTGCTCAAAAAAATATCTTTTTTACTGATCATTAAGAATTAATAATTCATAATAAATTATATAATAATAAAAAAGTCCGAGCTTTAAAAATTCATTTAATATGTAAAATAATGTTAATCTCTTACTAAAACTCGAAAAAAGTTTAGTAAGTAACACTGTCTTTATATATTTTAAGAAAAGGAAATGAATACTAATACATATATATTTAGAATTAATTGTGTTTTATAATTTAAATGGATTAAAATTTCATATTTAAACACAAAATTAGTACTAAATTTTAATAATTAAAAGTTAAACTTGTTTTATATATAAAAGAAACTTTTACTAAAGGTTAATTACTGTTTATACTAAATTATAAATTTAGACGTTTTATATTTTACATTTAAAAATAGTTTTTTCTTAATTCAACTCAATTATAACGGAATTTTATTAAAAATTATAATTTTTTAAGTAATACAATTTATTTTTTAAAAAAAAATAAATTATTATTATAAATTAGCCACAATTAATACCGAAAATTAAAAAATCAACGTTTGATATTTATAAAAACAATAATTATACATATTGGAAACACATAATACTAAATTTTATAAAATCACAAAAAAGAATTATTTTTATAGAAGATAAACTTTTTTTTTATATTATATACAAAGTATTACTTAGTTTTAATAAATACAAGTTTGGTAATTTTTAAAAAAGAAACTTTTAAAACCGAAATTCTATATTAAATTTTGAAAAATTAGCATTTTTTTTTTTATTTAGAAAAAATATTTTTTTCTATAAATATAATCTTTTTTAAAGTATGAACACAAATAATATTAATATTATAAGACTAGAATTTTTAAAAATATAAAAAATACTTTTACTTAAAATTAAACTGTTAATTACAAAAAGAATTCTATTTATAAATATATATATATTTTAAAATATACACAATGTAATACTAAATAAAAGTTTTGGGATTTTTTTTGTAAAATTTTTATAATTAAACAAAAAATTCACACTAAATTTATAAAAATGGGCGTTTTTATTTATAGAAAAAAATATATAATTTCCTATAATATATAAACTTTTCTTATAATATACATATAAATAATATTGATTTTAAATTTTTCTAAAAATAATTTTTACTAAAAATTAAACTCTACTAGTGCTAAATTCATCCAGGAAAACTTAAATACTTTTTTTACAACCTTTTTTAAAAAAAATTAAAAAAAATTAAAAAAAAAAGTTTTTTAATAAATAATAATAAAATAAAACTTTAAATAAATAATATTTTTTATATAACAAAATTAGTACTAAATTTATAAGAAACAAAGTTTTATATTTTATATAAAAATATAATTAAACACATTTAATACTTTAGAATAATTTAATTTTTTTTTAAAAAAATATATAAATAAATATATATAAATAAAAAAATTGCTAAAATATTATATATTAATAATAAGGTATAAGAAAATAAAATTTTGCAATAATAATAATTATATTAATATTTAATAATAATCACTATAAATATAAATATTTCTTAAAAATTTAGCCAAAAATTTGTACAAAATTTCACTAAAAAAAGTTTTGTGTTTTATAATTATATTTATTATTTATTGGAATTTAACACAATATTAAATTTTATTGGAAGTAGAATTATTTATCCTTAAGAAAAATTAATATTATTAAAACTAAAATGGATTTAATAAAAAAATATACTAATTTGCTATAAACATGTCCGTTTGGAAGGCGCATTGGAGGATTTGCGCTGGTCATGACCTTATTGGTCATGCGACAGACCAATTGGGAGCGCGTGCGTTGCGACATTGGGAGATCTGCAGGGTTATTAAAGAATTTTTTTCTTACATTAGAAATATTATAAATATTAATTTTGTAAATTTTTTTAAGTAAATCTCAGTGAATTTCATATTAATATTAATAATAACATAATAACTTTTATTATATTTATAAAAAAGCTAAAAAAAAATTCAATGATATACAAAATCCATATTTATCATAATATTTATTAATATTTCATAGAAATATAGTTATTCATTATATATATAAAATAAGTTAAATTTTTTTATTATTCTACAAAATTATTATTTTTTTTAATGTTTATAAATCTAAGGGATATATAATACTCTAATTATATTTATTGATAAAACTAAAAACTTTTACTTAATAGGAAATATATTAAATAAATAACTAAATAAAGTAAAGCTTTTTTGACTAAAAAAGTATATATATTTTTTATTAGGGCCACTTTTACTTATTCTCTACTTTTCGTTTGTTTATTTATTACCCAAATACAAAAAAAGCTTTATTATACGTTTTTAAAATACCTCCTTAAAATAAATATATTTTACAACTTTTATAGAATTCTTTTTTATAACATTTTTTTATATTCTTATTTTTATAAAATTTTAATATTTTATTTAAATATGATTTTTTTTTTCACTATAATTTTTGTAAATATATAAATATATAAAAATATTGAATTCCATGTGCGAGCTCCTTCATTACTGGATTACAAACAGGACAGTTCGGATTATATTTTTCAGGGCGATTGCAATCTCTAGAAATAGAAATAGTAATAATAATTATAATAAATAATAGCTTTATGGTAATAATGAATAAGAATAATAAGTAACGATAATAATTATAATAAATAAAAGGATAATATAATAATAATATCAATTATTACAAATAATATTAACTGTAGAATGGTAATAATAATGTTTATAAATAATAGTCATTAATAGAATAATAATAACAATAATTACACTAATAATTTTATTTACAATAATAACGATAAAAATAAACTGTTATAATAATAATTATAACTATAGCAGTAATAGTAATGATAATATAATACTAATTAATAATACTGTTATAATATAATGATAATAATAATAACAGTAATAATAATAACACTAATAATAGTTGCTTCCAACTTTTTATGTATTCTAAATATAAAGCAAAAAGTTATAAAGAAAAAGACTAATGAAATGTTCTCAGTAAAAATATTAGCTTATAGTTAAACTTTTTTTTGGTGAAAAGAAAGACCCAATCATTATTTTATACCCAAATAGTTGAATTATTATAAAGAAAATTATATTTATGAAGTTTGAACTTTCCTTATTTTTTTTGTGAAAAGAATATAATAAGGAAAGCATTAGTTTGCTAAAAATTGTTGAGCTTTAAAGGATAATTCATTTTTAAAAAAAAAAGGAACCAATCAACGCAATTTAATTTTTATAATAAAAAATATATAAAAATTTTAATCACCCAACAAAAAAAATTTTGGCCCTACCGTTTTTTATTGTTTAGAATTAACCTCTAAAATTTAAGTTGTTCGTTTCAGTAGCTGTAGTGCGTATTGAAGAAGTCATCAAAGAAAAGTTAATAAAAAAAAATATTTTACTTATAACTTTTAAATGCTAGAAATATTTTAGTTTTTATTTATTTATATATTTTCCATAACTCTTTAACGCATTCTATCATTATTACTGCTATTACTATTATTGTTATTATTGTTATTATGTGTTTATTCTTAAAACTTTAAAATAACAACATATTATTTCATTATTTTTTTAACGAAATATATTCGATAAATTACAATTAAAAGTTTTTGGTAGTAAATAAGTTTTCAAAATTTTTAGTGTATAAACCAATAACTTTCATTAATTTGTTATATATTGATAATATATATTATTTATAGTATTATAATAAATTCATATTTTTTACTCTTCTTGTTATTATATTTGTATTTACTACTAATATTAATAGTAAACTTTTTTTATAAAAAAGTCATTAAATAAAATTGAAAAAAAATATGTTTATATTAATTTTTATGAACGAACGACTTTAAGTATAACATTAAAAGAAAAATGAAGACTTAAAAAAAGTTCTATTTATTATTTTACGTATTAAAAAACTAAAATAATAATAAAAGTAAAAAAAAATAATATAAAAATTATTTTAATGTTGATAAAAAAAAGTATATAAGTATATAAAAATATATAATTATTGAAAGTCTACAAGAAGACTTATAAAAAAAATTTTACGTATAAAAAAATATAATAAATATTTAATTAATATAATAGATAAAAAAAATTATTAATCTTTTATATCAAAAAAATAACTAATAATTTTCTTTTTACGTTAAATGTTATAATAATTTAAAGTAAAAAGAAGAATCATAAAAATATAATATTTATGTTATTATTTATAAAAAAATAAATAAAAGCCAGAAAAAATTTAAAAAGATATATTTTTACGTACGGAATAAATAAATAATAATAAAGGCCAAAAAGTCGAAAAAATAAATATTTTAGTATTGTTACTAAAAAAAACGTATTACGTAAAACGAATAAAAATAATAATAAAAGCAAAAAGAAATAAAAAATAAAAAATATCTTATTAATATTATAAAGAAACATTTTTATGTATAAATAATTTTTAATGTTAAAAGCAAAAAGAAAAGAATATATTTTATTATTATTATAAAAAAATATTATTACATATAAGTAAAACAATGATAAAAGAAAAATTACATGGTATAAAATGTATATCTATTATTATTGTAATATTTTATACGTATAGGAAATAAATAATAAAAGCAAAATTACAAAACAGTAAATAATATTTATATTATTGTTGTTAATATTTTTATAAAAAATAATAATAATAAAAAAAAGGCAAAAATACACGATATGAAAATATTTCATATATTAGAATTTGTAAACACTTTGCACTTAAAATAAAAATAAAAGTAGTAATAGTAAAAATACAAAAAGGTAAATTTTTATTCTATTATTATCGAAAACTCTTTTACATAAAGATATTAAAAATAATAATAAAAGCGAAAATACACGATATAAAAATATTTTTATGTTAAAAAGTATATAATAAATAAAAATAAATACAAAAATATTCAATGTTTTATTTATTATTATGAGCAAATAACAATTTTACGATTGAGAAATAAATAATAACAAAGAACAAGAAAAACTTAAATAATATAAACTATAATATTTTTCATATCATAAATGTATAATAATAATAAATGCAAAAAGAAGACTTGTAATAAAAATAATAAAATGTATTTTTTCATATAAATATTAATAATAATAGAAAAGAAAAAATAATAATTATAGAGTTTTACTAACAAAAATAATAATACTTATAAAAGTAAAAAGAAGTTTTTATTAAAAAAAATTTAATCATAATAATAATGAATGCAACTCTGTTTTTAAAAAGGAGAGCCCTGACTGGAGCGATATAGTGAGTAAGGAGCACGAGGCAAAGTTGTATAAGTTATAAACATTCTCTTTAAATTTTTCGCAAAGCATAAACCATCTTGAGAGTTCAAAATATGGCTGATAGTAATAATAAGTAAAAATAATAATAGAGTTTATAAAAACTTTAAAGGGGGAGAAAGAATATTAATGAAAATAAAAAAGTTTAATAATATTATAACTAATAACAATAACAACAATAATAATTATCATAATAACAATAATAGTGATAATAATAAATTTAATAGTTTACCGAATTTTTTTAACAGAAAAGTACGCAATTTTATATAAAAAAAAATTATGTGATGTTTAAGATTTTGGAATAATATTAATAACAAAGATAAAAGTTCGTTAAAACTAATGAACAGATAAAAAGTTTACTGAAAAATAATGATTTTTAAAAGTTTGAGGAAACTTCTCAACAAAAAGTGCACAGTTTTATATATAAGAAAAGTTTAAAAAATATATAATAGTTTAAAAGTAATGTTTAAGATGTTGGGTAATAGCAATAATAAAAGTTCATTAAGACTAATGAACAGATAAAAAAATGTTCTTTAAAAATAATAATAATGTTACACGTTTAATGAAACTTCTCAATTTTATATATAAAAAGATTTTAATTTTTAAAATAATAAAAAAAATAAACGTTTAATGTAAAATTAAACAAGAAGGCACTGTGGATTTATTTTCATTAGAAAATTTTTAAAAAATAAAAAACATTGAAAATAAAAAAAAAGAAATTTATTATTATTATTATTATAAATAATTTAAAAAAAATCGTTAAAATATTAGTATAAAAATTTATTTATTAATTTTTTATAGCAATTTTTGTTTAAAATTTATATTAAAAAAAAATTTTTATTTTTCTTAATATTATTTTTTATTTTTTGTAGTTTTTTTTAAAATTTTTAAAAATAGTTTAATTATAGAAAAATATTATAAAATTTTATTAAGAAATAATAAAAAAAGGAATATTTAATAAAACTTCCATATAAAAGTGCATAAAAAACGTATATTTAAAAAAATAAACTTTATATAAATATTTTTATAAAAATTTTGATATCATAAAAATATAAATACTCTACTTTAGTAATAATAATAATATTATTTATAAAGTTTATATAATATTAACATAATAAGTAGTAAAAAAATCAAAATATTATTATAAAAGGAACGAAATATAATAAATAATATTAAAAATTTTAATAGAACTTTATATTTAGAGCAAAGACGATCCGGATAAAAGGCCAAGCAGCCCATAACGCTTTGAAATTCCGAAGGAAAAAGTCCAGCATATACAGCGAGATATTCTCTGCAAAAAAAATAATAAAAATAAAGGCAAAGTTAAAATCAGTAGTAAAAGTTAAAAAAAACTAAAAATAGTGCCAAAGTTAAAACCACTGTCAAAGTAAAAAATAATAAAAATAGAAAAGTTAAATCAATAGTAAAAGAAAAAAAAATAAATTATAAGTAAAAAGGATATAAAAAAATAACAAAGCTAAAATCTACAGTAAAAGTAAAAAAATAAATTAAAAGTAAAAAGTAATGAAAAGTAAAAATATATATTAAAAATAAAAGAGTTATGAAAAGTATAATATAGTAAAAGCAAATATAATATAATAATAAAAAAGTGGTAAAATAAAAAAAATTAAATGATTTTAGTAATTATAAAATGAACCTGAATAAATATAAATTTAAATCTTTTATTATAAAATTACAGAAATCCAAAATTTATAATATTTTTTTTTTAAAAAAGAATTATTAAAATAAATTTTTTAAAAAAAATATTAAATTTCTTTATAATTAATTTTTTTATTTTTTTATGAATTCAACAAAATTAAGTTTTTATTAATTATAACTTTTATTATCGGAAATTAATTTATAACTTAAAGAAGTTTTTTGCCTTGCATAGTTCACTGCTTCCACTTTTTTCTCAACACGTAAAAGCTCAATAAATTCTTGAATTCGCAAATTAAATTCTAAAGAACTCTTAAGTAAATTAAAATTTAAATTAAAATAAATTTTTTAGAAAATAATTTAAATCAACTTTTATTTTCCGAAGTTTTGTTCTATTTATAGAGCACCAAGCTAAAGCTTCTCTGTAGATTATTTAGAAATGCAATTTTTTTATAATTGTAAATAAAATTACCTACAAGAATGGCTTTGAAGAGACTTTACAACTTGATGTATTTCACGATAAACATCGGCATCCACTAATTCCTTTTACAAAAAGTTTATTATATATAATTTTTAATAAAAGATTTCTTTAGTCACATAAGGGGATCAATAAAAGTTATTATTTTAAATTATTTTTTAATAGAAGATTCAATAAGTTTATAAAGTTAGTAGTAATTTTGATTATAATATAGTAAATTAAATAATAAATTAATCTTTTAGAAAAGAGAAGAATATTTTTGGTTTTAATTAAATTTTACGAAATCACTGACTAAATATTATTATAAGTTTTTAAACTATTTAAACTTATTATAAACTTAAAAAAGGAATTAAAAAATGAGTACAAGTAAGTTCGAATCTTTTGCAAGTTCACCTGCAGAAATCTCGAAACCGTTTCTTTCATATATAAATAGTTATAAATAACGATGGGTAATTAATTTTTTTAAAATATTATAGTGACCGATAAAAATGCTCTACAAGAATTAAATCAAGAAAGTGTGTTGAAAAATTACTGTCCTCTTAATTATTTTAAATAGAATTTAGAAAGAAAATAAGTTATATAAAGTGCAATTAACCGAAACCTGCTAATAAATCAAGACGATTTAATATCTTTTCTATTATTGAAGTTTCTAGATTTAAACTTAATTCCAGCTTGTTGTAAAAACAAAAAACTAAAAATTTTTGAAAAGAAATAAAAATATATTGGAAACCTCCCCATAAAATTTTTTTAATTTAACAGCAATTTTCTTTAAAGTTTGACGGACAGATTCAACTTCTGTACCATCCCGTTTAGCTAAAAAGTAATATGATTTTATATGTAAATTGACATAAGCTATTTAGCTATTGACCAAGTTCTTTTATAGACTTTTTAACGGTAGAAATTTCCTTCTCTAAATCCCTTTGAATATTTCTAAAGACCTTGTTTAAGTTTTCACAAGGAACTTTAAGGAGAGGAAAAGCTAAAGCAAGTGAAGTTGTTTCTGAAGACAATTCCATTATTAACGGCCTGTCGTAAAAGCTGCAAGGCTTCCAATTTTTTCTTTAATTTATAATAACTTTGTTACTATTAAGCAGAGTTCAGTTCGTAACAATGACTCCCCTATATATGGAGTGCCCCTGCTTTTTTTATCTTTCACGCATCGCTGGAAGGTTCCAAAAATACAAAAATCTACAGCTCTATTTACGTTTACTGAACACTGTTAAAGTAAAACTTTTTTATAAAGCTCAAAAGTAAATTAAGCAAATCCTTTTCTTTTAAATTGGTTGTACACGAAACCTATCTATAAATTTCTTTAAAAAGGAAATTTAATTTTAAGTATCGTTTTAACACACGACCTGCGTTGTCTTTTGACTGAAGTAGAGTTTTTTAGCACGTCTTAAATTTTAATTCGTAGTGGGAATTTCTCTATGTATGGCCGACCAGGAGCCCGTGTCTGTGACTACCGCCCTCCTATTTGAACGCCATCGTTGCGAGTGAATACTCTGCTGTTTTGTGTGGGGATCCCGATCATAAGCATCCTATGTGGAGAGACCGAGTCGATAGTTTGAATGGCCACCTTGAGATCTAGGCTGATGAACTCGGGCTGTGCACACTAAGCCCTAGCAACCAACACAATTGACGACCACAGGCACAATGAACGTACTGGATATTCGCCCTACTAAAAGATATACGTCTCACAACGGCAATTGAAGCGAAGGTCACGACAACAATTAAGGCGCTTTACCCTTTATTATGCGGTAAGAGCATCTTTCTCTGCGAAACAAACGGCAATTGTATGTCTTACACCCAGCCAGTAATGACATTCGCCCCCGCTGCCTGGGCCTACGACTCCATTGCAGTAGCGTAATCGCTGTGGTTGTGCGAAATGAAGCTCTTCACTGGAACCTGCAGCTGAACCCTTTAGACGCTGTCTTCCAAATTAATGCCAATGCCCTATACGATGGGTTACAGGCACACTACTCGCCCGCTGGTGAGTGAATATACTTACGAGCCATGGGACGGGGAACTTTATCGCCGCCCACCTGGCCCTCGTAAGTGCCAGTTTTTGTTTGTTAATGACAAGAAAATAATGACAACTTTTTGATTGAAAGCTATTATGTAACATGTCTGCGATTACTCCTGATTGAAAGCTTGAGTATTCGATGTTTTTTGACTCGATCGAGCACCAGGAACTGGCATTTATAAATAAATAAATAAAAGTTGTTGTATGCCTTCAGTTAATTTTCTTTCTATTATTTATTTTAAATTTCTTAATATTATTTTTTTTAATAATAATAAGTCACTCGTGATCTCTTACAAAAACAGCGGAACTTGTAAATGTTAAGGGGGACTAATTACACGAACTACTCTATTAAAAAACGAAGAACTTTTTCTTATAATTATGATCAAGCTGCTATAGTAGACTATCTCGCCGAAACTTATAACATTTATACTCGTTAAAATTTTTTGTTATAAATACATTTTACTTTATGCATATAATTTTTTAGTTATTAGTAATTATCTTTTTGGCTCTTTTTTATTAATTTTAATTCAGTTACGGACTTACTCTGCTGGAAAGCTTTAGAAAACTTTGACGAATATTTTAAAGATGAAGTCCAATTTTCTTTTAAGCAAAGACAGCTCGTCCGTAACATTAAAAGATTTATTGAAGATGTATGTGAAGTTGAGAGCGAAACAGTAGTGCGAGGCCTCGATTATGTTAACAATTTTAACACCCATCGACCTCTTTCCACCGGATTAATAAAGTTTTTTCTAATATATTAAGTATTATTATTGTTAACATTTATAAAAATTTTTTAATTAAATTTCTTTATTATCGTATATAACTAATAATTAACAATTAAAATAATATTTTTGATATTTGAAAGACTTGATGAAGAGCTTAACGGTGGACTCTTCGATTGTGAAGTTACTGAACTTGCCGGTTCTTCTGGTTCTGGAAAAACTCAGGTGTTGTTTTTCTTCCATTTACTAATTTTTATTAAAGAAATGAATTTTAAGTTCTGCTTATCTTGCGTACTTGAGAATGCTTCCAACCTGAAAGCTGCCATTTATATAGACACGGAAAATAACTTTTCAGCTACACAAATGTACAACATAAGTCAAGCTAAAGGAAATGTAGAAGACACGGTTTTTATTGTTAAAAAAATATTTAATTTTTTTAAGGAACTTTTATTATAGCTTGTATTTTTTATGAATTTTATACATTTTATTTTTTTTATTATAAAATTATCACTATTTTAACGTACGTCTTTACTCTTAAAGGTAATTTTAAACTTGTTGTCTTTGAGAAATTTACTTTATAATTTATACTATTTATCATATATTTTTTAAACTTACTAGTTTCTTTAATATATAGAAGTTTTTAGGTTTATTTGATATAAATTTTTTATTTTTATATATTTTTATAAGAAATAATATTATTAATAGGTATTAAACGATTATGTTCGCTGCCTTCGAGTTTATAATATTTACGATCTTTTTAACGACTTACAAGAAATTTGGAAAATTCTTGAAAATCCTACAAATGAAAAAGTACTCCTTTATTAGATAATTAAGTGTTCTTTAGCAAACTTTTTATTTCTGTATTATTCGTTTTATCGAAAATGTATATATATAACTAGTATTTAGCACAAAATAATATTATCTATCAAAAGTTAATCCCTATTTAACCTCTTAATACCTTTTATTTGGTATAAAAATCTCTGCGCTTGCAATTATAATTATAAGACTTTGCCTTTTACCGCTTATATATATAAATACTTGCGCGCTTTGTTTAAAGAGCGCTAAAATGTTCTAAAATCCCCAACGAAAAAAAATTACTTTAATTTCTGCGCATTTTCTTGTTTATTACAACAATTTTATTTATGTAATTCATTCCATTCATACTAAATAAATTTACTCGACTTAACTAATTCCAACGTAATTTCATATTTAATTTTGTATAATTTATAAATAATTTTAAGTTTCGAAATTAATTAATTTAGTTATACTATTTTTTTAATTATCCATATCAAAGTGCTTAAATTTTTTTAACTATATATAAAAAATTTTAGGCAGAGGATATAAACTTTTTTAAAAATCTAAATTTAATTGTTGTTGATTGTTTGGCAACTTTGATTTATCCTCACATGGCAGCAGACAACCTTCAAGGCTAGATTTATTTTTGTAAACTAATGTGTAACTATAGAAACTTTATAAAGATATTGTTATTCATATTATAGCCCTTGTTATGATAATATTTATTTTTTATTCCAAATTTTATAAATCTTTAACTAATAAATGTTACTGCGTAGATTTCGTGGTTTATTTATATTTTTTATTATTATCATTCATTTTTATTTTTTAGTTTATACTGATTTACTATTTTATAAATATAATATAATCTTATTTATGATAATAATTATTTATAATTTTTTTTTGTGTTTTTTATATAATATACAGCTAGACTCTTATATTTAAAAAAAAAGTTTTCTATAAATTATTTTTACAATCATTTCTATTCAGAGTTTTATGACATATACTTCATAGTTTTTTATTTATATTATTAATATTAAATCTTAAACTTTTTTTTTATTTTTATAAATATTCTGTTATTCTTATATTTTATAAATATTGAATTATAAAAAAATAAAAAAATAAATAATAATGAAAAAGTTTTTAAAATAAAATTAACTAAAATTTTTTATGTATTTTATTAAAATTTACCTTTTTTATTTGTTTATTAATATTTTGGTCTCCAGATTTTTTTTGTAATATTATTTTGGTTTTTTTTTTAATATTAAATTTCTGTACAATTTTCTTATATGCCTATTTATATTATTATTATAAATTTTAATTTTTCTCAGGACTATTTTTCATAATTCACTTAACTTTTTTTATAATAATATTATTTTATTATATATAATATGATATGTAAATATGATTTTTTAATGGAAAACTTTTTTTTGTTAGATTTTTTTTATATATACATTTTGGCTTTTTATAATGTTTACATAAATTTATTACTTTTTATATAATGTATAGCTTTAAAGGATTTCTTAATATAATTTCATTATTATAATATTATTTTCTTATTTATAAAATCTATATTTATTAGAACTTTTTGTTATGGTTTTTATTATAATAAAACGAATTTTTTTTATATTTATATAAATTTATTACTTTTTTCTATTTAATATACAACTTTAAAGGATTTTTAGATATGGTTATATTTTATTACATATATATTTATATATATCGATAAGTTTTTATTAAATTTGATACTGTTATTTCTTTTTTTTATAATAAAAGTATATAAGAAACGAATTTTTCTGTAATTTTTTACTTATTATATTATTTTACTATATATATCAATTTAACACTTTCTCTGTAATATTAACTTTAACGGATTTTAATGAAATTTTATTATTATAATATAATTTTTTATTTATCATGATAATTTTATGAATTTTTTTATAAAAAAATGAAACGAATTTCTATAATAATATTTTATTTATCCTTTATTTATAAAAATATATTACTTTTTATATAATATATCACTTTAAAGGATTTTTATAATACTATTTTATTATATATAAAATTTATTAATTTATTATTTCTTCTTTAAAAATGGACTTTTATATTAGTGTATATATATAATTTACCTTTTTTTCTTTTTATAATATTTTATAAGTTTATAATTTTTTTTATGTAATACATACTTTTAAAATTAGTTTATTTTTAATATTTTGATATAATATATATTTTTTTATTATAGAAAAATATTATATAAAACGAATTTTATTATAGTATTTAATAATTGAGAACTTTTTTTGTTAGTATTTTTATAGTACTAACTTTTTTTTCTTTATTGTTTTATTTTATTTTATTATCAATAACTAATTATATAATAAATATAATATTTTGTCATTGAGAACTTTTTTTCTTTTCATTATTGTATTATATTATTTCACTATTCTATAATAATAATAAAAAATAATATCTAGAACAAATTTATTTGTTTGAGAACCTTTTTCGTTAGTCGATTTTTATATTATTATCTTTTTTTTTTCCTTTTTATTTTACTATATTATTTATAATATTTGTTCATTTACTTTTTATGTATAAAATAATATAATTTTTTTTATGTTAAAAAAGTCATGAAAAGAATTTTTTTTAAAAATAATAAAGAGTTATATAATTATTTTTAATACTAGTTTTATTTGTAAAAATATTTCTATAAGGCTTAGTGCTTCTGCGGGAATTCTCTATTCTTATTAAGAAAATTGCACATAAATTTGCTATTGCCGTTTTGGTTATATATTATTAATATTTGAAATAAATTTATTAATATTATATTATTAATTTATTAATAGTTTTTTATTAAATGGTTTGTAATATAAAAACTACAAATAAAAAATAATAAAGATAAAAAAAAGTGTAATGATAATATGAAAAAAAGGAAATCGTAAAATTATATTTAAGGCAAAAAAAAGGTAAAATAAGTAATATATAATGTTAAAGTTTTTATGGATATTGATAAAAAGTAAAAGCTGTTTTATAAAAAAAAAAATTTTTTATTTTTATATTAAAAATAGTAAATAAGTAAAAAAAAATGTTAAAGTTTTTTTAAAATATTGATAAAAAGTAAAAGTTGACGTATAAAAACTTTTATTTCTATGTATATAAAAAAGCAAATAAGTAAAAGAAAATAAGTAAAAGAAAATAATGTTAAAGTTTCTATAAAATATTAATTTTAATTAAAGGTTGGCATATATATTTTATTTTTTCTATATACAAAAAAGATAACCAATTGCACGGTGACCCGCAACGGCGGAGCTATAGAGCCGGCGATGGGAGCACACTGGCCTTCTTATATTGATACTCGTAAGTGTGTATATAATTATGATTGTTATTATGTATAGTTTTAAGATGTATATACTATTTTCTAATCAAGTTATTGTTATTTAATACTTTTTATTAATAATTATATATGAGTTTACTTTACAGAAAATATATTGTATATTATTATTATAATTTATATAATTTACTAGTTATTAACGTACAATAAATTTTTTTTTAATATTATTATGTTGATTCTCGTTAAGTTTGTATATTTTTTCATCGTTATTAATATCTATTTGTTAATTTTTTTATCAGTTTATATTATTTTTTACTTTTTATTTATAAATATAGCAAAATTTTATTATAGTAAGAAGTTTTAATAATTTACATGTTATTTATGTGTGATAATATTTTTTTTTCCATGATATTATAATTTTATTTATACTTGCAAAGTTTGTATATATTTTTTTATTAATAATTATATTTATATATTATTTTACATCCCTTTAAATGTTTTATTATTATTAATTTATCTTTTTATATTATATATTCCTCGCTTTCTTTAATTATTAGTTTTATAGAATTCTTTTTTTATATACCTGTAAAAGTTAGAAAATTATAAAATTTACTTATATTTAAAGTGTGTTAATATTTTTTTTTCGATTTATTATTATAAAGAAATTTTATTATAGGGATTGTATTACTGGAAGATGGCAATCACAAAAAAGCTCAAATATTAAAACTCTCTGGAAAAGTTTTTTTTTTCCATTTATTATTATTATTATAAATATAATATATTTTTTTAAGGGATACAATAAAGTGGTGGACTTTTAAATATTTTTTATTTATATCTTTTTATTTATTATTTTTTTTTAACTAAAATATTTTAATAATTATAAAATTAGAATAAAAATAAATATAACTTTAATAAAGTTTTTAAATATATATTTTTTTCTTTATTACATATAAAAAAGTTTTGCTTAGTACTTCGCGTAGTTCTTATGATTTCACTATAGCGCCTCAATACCATATAATAGAAAAAAAGGTAGAAGTGGAGTCTTGTCTTGAATTGCTTCGCAACCGGGCATGCGCGTATAAACGTATTTTTAAAATGTTATTGGTTTTTACGTATGGATACTCAATTTTAATTGGACGCTCTTTTATCCGTTATATATCTTGGAGGAAATTTAGTTAATGTTTAACGCTGAGTAAAATTTAAAAAAAAAATTACTATTAGTTAAAGAACTACGGACTTAAAATTGCTTGTAAATTATAAAGAGACCACGTGAAATTTCTGGGTTTGTACCATGCGATATGGACATGTGCTCGCAACCTCGGGTTTGGGGGTTCTTACCAATATTTTCGAGGGTGAATATTTCAACTCTTCACTGTTTGACGGAGAGAGAGAGGTGTCTTATAAAGAAAAGGTTTTGAAAATATTATTATTTATTTAGATGGCATCTCTCTAACTTGAGCTCCACATGCTGGATTCTATAAAGCTAATAACGCAAATAAATGTTTCTATTTCTTGCTCTTCGAAATGTGCTCTCATTTTGTACTGTCAATTGTAAATTTTTCGAATTACTAGACAGACGAGCTATTAAAATTATATAAAATATACAAATAGTATTTTAGGAGCTCCAATATAAAGAACTAGCAGTCTTTAAAAAAGGTGAGGTGGCTTTAATAAAAACTGCTTATATCGTACTATTTATAAGTGTTGCTTGAAGTCACACTCTTCTCGCGTAGTGTTCAACTATAGCGCCCCCAAAAAAGATAGCAAGGATTGACAAAAATAAGTTATTAACAGATTTATTGTAACAAACACTTAAACATTTATTTCGCAGGTTTATTAATAACAAAGTACAAGCAAAAGCACAACTTTATAACTTTTTACAAAAAAAGTTTTTTTTTACAATTTGGTTTTACTTAAATGCCTAAACCAAAAATTTATAAATTTGTTAAAATTCGGACAACCCCAATAGCCGAAAATTTAGATGACTGGTTTGGATTTCTCGAATCGATTGAAGAAATACTTTATATATAGAGCACAAAACCGCTATGAAGAATCGTCGTTTCAGTATGTTTCTTATTCAATAAAAACTAACTTGAGTTTTCCGTTTTACTTTACCATACCATGGTGCTCACCGGATATACATACAAGCGCGCGCCGAACAAACTCCTCAAAAGTCATCCTCGCCCAAGCCCGAGGACGCAGGACAAATTGATTATGGAGCCTTCGCAGAAGCTATTTATACCCTCAGTTAGGCCCCACGCTACGAAACATCTCGAACACTCGAAAACATTCTGCTAACGTCACAACAAGAAAACATCGGCCTATCTAAATAAAGATGAACTTTAAAAATTTACGTACATTCTCGTAACCAATAGCAAAACAATATTATGTGGTTTAGGTTGAGATCATTTCACAAAAGCTACCGGTCTTAAGAAGTTGCTATATATCTCTAATAAAAATATATAATTATAAAGAAAGCGGTGGTCTGTATTAAATAAAATAGCTTATATCGTACTTTATTAAAAAAGAAAGGGTCATCATTTACGAAGAAAGTGAGGCTATTTTAAAAATTTTTAATACATGCTCACAACCAATAGTAAATCACGTAGTATTAGAAAGCATGAGGCCATTACAATCTTCGTAACAGCTGACTTTTCTAAAAGAAAACAAAACAATGTTATTAAAAATGCTATTCCGTATTTATAAAATTGCCCATTAAGTTCATGTTTTTAAAAAAAGGTTCTTTACTTGAAAATGAAGCTAATATTATTATTAAGCTTTTCAAATATTCGAGTTTAGTAACGGAATAATAAATAACATGTTAGTTGGCTCAATTCTTGAGTCTATTGCTGCTGCTATTTGTAAAAGTTTCTGAACTATACAATTTTAATTTAAAAAAAAAGTAAAACTTTTAAAAAAATTACACATATCGTACTTTTTTATATATAAGGCAGGCCATCATTAACGAATAAAAACAATTTTGAAAAATTTATAATACACTATCACAACCAATAGTGAAACACGAACTAAAGTTACGAAGAGCACGCGAGTCACACTTGAGACCATTTCACGAAAACTGTGAAAGCAAAAGTTTTTTTTTTTTATTTAATGCAGAAGCAATGCCTGATCCCGTTATTATTCCTTCACTTCGATACGGCCTGAAATTTACAAAAACACAGAAAAAATTTTCTTTTGTAGTATTTTTTTTATTTTTATCTTATATTAATTTAATGTATTTAAAATAACAGGAAACGGTACAAAGCTCTTTACCTAAAGTTTCAAATAATACTAAAGTTTTGCCAAAAACTTTAGATTTTTTTGGAAAGTTGGAAAATGTAGGCTTTGATTTTGGGAAAAAGAAAGTTTGTAGTGTAGATAAAACTGATAAAGCAGAAATATGTGCTACTGTTGTTTTGAAAAAAGAAAGGGTTGATAGGGAAAAAAAATGTACTGTATTTAATAACAGGGAAGGTAAAGCTTTTATATGATATAAAAGTTATAGTTAAATTATTTTACAATTATACGAACTAATTTTTTTTTATTTTTTTTATTTTATTTGTTATATATGATAGATCAAGATACACAAGAAATAAAAACTGAAAATTGTTCGGATCTGAAAAATCAACAAGTAAATTTTTTTTTAGTTAAAATATCTTTTTTAGTTTATAATTACTTTAAAATATAAGAATATACAACTACGAAAAAAACATAAAATAAAAGTATCCGGTTATAATATTCCTGACATCTCTATAGATTTTTCAGAATTAAAAAAAAGGTTTATTATTTATATTTCTTTTTAATTTTTTTGTATAAATTTAACTAAAAAGAACTTTTTTTATAATAAAGGTACAAAATAAACGACTATCTTCTTGCTAACGTTGCTGAATTTGGATTTCCTATGCCCACACCGATTCAGATGCAGGCCATTCCTTTACTTCTGGAGGTATTTTTTATATTTATGAAATTTTTCTTAGGTTTACAAAACTAAATAATTTTCTTTATATTTTTGGAGATACTTTTTCTAAGTTATAATAATTTGTAAAACTTAGTTTTTTTTTGTTTTTAAAATTTTTATAGGGACTTATTAAACATTAATTTTTTTATTTAGGGAGGATTTTTTTAATTTTATATACAATTTTATAAAACATACTTTAAAAACGGTTTAAATAATTTAAAATTATTAAATTTTATTTCAGAATTATTTAATACTATAATAACAATAATTATCCTAATTTACTTTAAAATTAAACAAAACGAAAAAAACCATTATAAAATCTACTTAACATCTAATAAAACTATAATAATTTAAATTTTCTCTTTATTTCTGGAGAATTTTTTCTTTACACGTCTATATTTTTATATCTGCGGGTTTTTTATGAACTTTTTTTTACTAAATTAGTTCATATTTTTTCATTTTTCGAGGATTTGTATAAAAATATATTTAAAAACTTAAAAAAAAAATTTATATTAAAATTTTTATATGAAATTAAAGAAAACCTAATAAGTTTCTTTTTTTATATCTCTGGAATTTTTTTAATATTATATTCATTTTTAAAACTATTTAACTTTTTTTTAAAATATATTTATGATTTATTGAAAATTAAATTAAAAATTTTATTACGTTAATTTTGATTTCTTTTAAGGTTTTTATTAAAAAATTGATTTATTTTTATTAGAATCGCGAAGTCGTTGCCTGCGCACCAACTGGATCAGGAAAAACACTGGCCTTTGTTTTACCTCTTTTTGCTTTATTACAAGTACTTTTGTACTTCAGATTAATCGTTATTTTTAGTTAATTAAGATTTTATTTTTTTGATTGTAAAAAATTTTAATATAAATAATTTTTTTAAACTTACTAAGCATTTGACTTTATTATTTGAAAATAATTAACAATTTGTGTGTTAAACTGCTCTAAAGATCGTTTTCCTTAAGAAAATTACATAATTAAATCAAAAAAAGAATTTTACTTAGAACAACATTTATTTATATATTACTAAAAAAAATTTTAAATAATAAATAAATATTTTTTTTATAAAAAACAATTTATAAATAAATAGAAAATTTTGTAACTAATTTATCTAATATATATTTAAATTTTTTAAGTTTGAAATTATTTGTTTATATTTTTTAAAGGGGATTTTGTAATGTAAATTTTTTTTTTAACAAAATTTATTTTAATTTATCAATTGCAGACCTTTTAGTATTTTTTTTTATAAATTTTTAATTTTTAATTTTATTATTAATTGTAAAATTTATTAACAAACTTATTGATTTTAAAGAACTATAGAAAATTATGTTTGATTTATTTTTAAAATCTAAAAATTATTTTTGTTTTAATTTTATTAATTTTTTTTTTAATGGATAATTTTATTATATAAATTTTATTTTGCTTGTAAAAATTAATAGTATAATTTTTATTAAACATAATTTGTTAAGTTTACTTATTAGTCCGAGATCTCTTATTTTTATTTTTATTTAATTTTTTTAATTTTTTTATTGAAATTTTGAATTTTTAATTTTATAGTTATGAATAAC